GGAGGTCATTCTAGATCTAACACCACTGCACATTGTCATTGGTAGATATGCCAATGCGACAATGATTAGAATGGTCACTAACGGAATTAGTACTGGGAGAATTGTCAGATCAGGGGCTTGGAACACCCTCAAAAAGGAAATACCACTTCTGCAACTCCCAATGGACGATATGCCAAGAACGTACAACTTTGACAAACATGTCAATGTAGTATTGAGCAATAAGAAGGATTGGAAGAGCGAAACGCTTGCCCAGCAGTTAAAAGACCATACCATAACTTGGTATACTGATGCTTCCAAAACCAATACGGGAACAGGGATCGGAGTGTTTGGGCCGAGAGCTAATTACTCCGAACCAATGGGCACTTACCCTAGTATCCTACAGGCAGAAATCTACGCTATCGAGAGATGCGTACAACTTATCTTAGATAGGAACTATCGGAAACAAGAAATAGCCATCTTATCTGATAGTCAAGCAGCATTAAAGGCGATCAACTCAGTATCAATCAATTCGAAATTGGTCAAAGAATGCATAGAGAAGCTGAATAAATTAGCCAAAGAAAACAAAGTCCTCCTACACTGGGTGCCTGCTCACCAAGGGATAGAAGGCAATGAAAAAGCAAATAATCTAGCTAGGAAAGGAGCGAACACTCCACTAACTGGACCAGAACCGTTCTGCTTTCCAAGTGGGAACCAACTCAAGGCGGAACTCAAGAACTTGGAAGATTCCATCCGCAACCTGGAATGGAAATCTTGTAATGGTCTAAGACACTCGAAGAAGTTTCTGAGGGCTTATGATCAAGAAAAATCACAGACCTTCCTGGGTCTGAGTAAGAACAATCTTCGGATTGTCACGGGGTTTTTAACAGGACACTGTCTCCTCAATGGACACCTCAGTAGATTGAAACTAAGAGGAAACGGCGAATGCAGATTCTGTGGGGAAGATGGGGAAACACCAGTACACCTCATCACTGAGTGCGCCGAGACGACAACCATTCGTGCCATGAATTTTGGTACGACTGATATTGGAGATGGAGAACTACCCTCTATAAAACCGTCCCAGATACTGGCTTTTGTCAAAGCCCTGGGACTGTATGATGAGTTATGATTCAAGAAAGGGGGACACAATGGATCTGTAAGGTCGAAGTGATTAACCCCCCTCCCACTCATTCTAAAATTCATTCTTCTACCCCATATCATTAAAATGTTTTATAATCAAACTAGGTTTGATTTTGACAGTTGAGTTTTTCTTGTATATGTAAATATTATCTTAACATTTATGTCTCTTTATTATTTTGTTATATGATAATAATGTTGAATGAAAATGACCTATAAAAATACATATATGTGATCTTAAAATAAATTAATCAAAATTGTCTGTATAATTTTATTTTTACCTTTTCTGACGTAAAATATTGTTTAATATTTAATAATGTATTAGTATTTTGTGTTGATATTGTTAACTGGACAGTTACTTATAGGGGACCAGAATGGCAACTCCTCAAACCTATTGAGAACTCATGCACTTACAGGGTTTTCTGCCGACTCGTCCCGTCGCGTCGTCTATCGACGAGCGGGCCGAGGTTGCCATATTTTAACCATAAAGCTCTTGCCGCGAGTAATAAACAAATTAACAACCTGTATAGGCTTGGTACATACTCCGCCGGTACTGCCACCATCGGAGAATACGGTAAACAGACGACTAAACACTAAACATATACACAGATTTAAATAGTGAGTACACAAAATAAAATGTTAAAAAAATGTTAAAACCTACTACAAGGCTTGGATTTGGGTCCTAATTTCCGTATATAACAAGAGAAACTGTACCATTGCTAAGAAACGTGGAAGGAGAGAGGCAGCTTTGTGATGGTTGCGCCTCATAGAAATCACAAAACTGAAATCCAGCTCTGAATCCAGTACTTAAAATTCTATGGAAGGGACATCATGCTTCACGTTCCTCATGCAAAGTTCAGTTTTCAAATTACTGCGATTATTGACCTATTTTCATTATAAAAAAATGACCATATTCCATAACGATATTCTTATAACGCGATGTTAGATGCCCAGAAACATATCTAATGATTTTATGCGGCGATCGCCTGATTTAGTTTATTTCAAAGCATTGTCGATGTAGGTTCTAAAATTTTGTCTCTCAGATACGCAACGGATAAATATACCGGGTGCGTCTCAAAAGTGGATCACCCCTATAACTTTTTTTTTCAGATAAAACAACGAGATTTGGTATGTTAGTATATGACATAAATTAGGATTGATTGACATATTCAATTATTTTCGGTCACTTCCGGTTTCAACGGAAATGACTGCAACTTTTGATTTTTAAATCGCACCCTCGGTATTTTTTTACTTTATTCGGTAGAAAATGACACTCTGAATAGAATGACATATCACATGTCAACTTTTGACATTTTCGCATATATATTGTTTATTTGAAATTGTAACATGCGGTTCATAACGACAATTTGACTCGAAGTACCAAGTGTGTGGTAACAAATTATTTGTAAAAAATTCTTTTTCGAAATATGCTAATGATCCACCCTCGTTCCATTTGAAAAAAATTGAGATATGATCAAAAATATGATTTGGGCATCTTTTAACCGGCCAGGGCAAGACACTAAAAACATTAGACGATCAAATCTATTTTTCCAAGGCTCCTTGATTAAAAATTAGTGTTTTTAACACAGCCATGGCACTCTAGATTGAAATTTAAAATACAACTTGTTTTTAAGAGAATATGTCAAAAGTTGACATATGATACGTCATTCTATTTAGAATGTCATTTTCTATCGAATAAAGTAAAAAAAATACCGAGGTCATTTCCGGTGAAACAGGAAGTGACAGAAAACAATTGAATACGTCAATCAATCCTAATTTATGTCATATACTAACATACCAAATCTCATTTTTTTTATCTAAAAAAATAAAATAGTAATAGGAGTGAGCCACTTTTGAGACGCACCCGGTATACACGGCGTCGTATAAATTTGCTACCTGCAATGTATGTAGAAAATTCGCTCGGCTTTTTATCGAGTAGGTCACATTAAAATCGGATTTCAATCTATTTCATTCTAGGATCGCTTTAGTTCGTCGCTTGGTACTCGGCACTTGCATCGCTCGTTCTTAATCGAGCGATGTCGGTTATTTCAATAATCCAGTACTCGAGCGAATTTTCCCATCACTAGACATAATAAATAAATAAATAAATAAATAACGTCTTTATTTTTTACTCGGCGAAATTCAGCAGAGCTGTTAAGTTAACCGAGCATATAAAAAAAGTAAATAATATAATACATTCTTAAAAAATAACATTCAAAGAAAAAAGAATTAGTAAGAAAAATGAAAATTAACAATATACTTTAGATAAAGAAAAATCAACAACTTAATAAGTTAAAGCAAAAACAGTAAAAAATGAAAATTGTTCCGTAAATGATACAAAAATTAATAAATCAAATTATTGTGTAATTCTATATCCGCTCAACATATAAGTTTTTAATTTTGTTTTGAAAGTGAACGTGTTTAAATCAAGGGAGTATAGATTCAAGTTGGAATTGTACATCTTGGATGCCAGGTAGGAGAAAGAACGCTGATATAGCGCCGTGCGATGTTTGGGAATTTCCATATTATTACACTGCCTTATAGCATAGTTAGAGTATCGAAATTTAAGTTTATTAGTTAAATACTCAGGAAAACCATTCCGCAAAATTCTGTGTAAAAAACATGCAAAATGTAACTTTTGTCTGTCTTCAATATTTAGCCAATTCAACATATCTAGTTTATATGTAACATGGTCTCTCGATCTTAATCCGTATATTAAGCGAATACATGAATTCTGTACTTTCTGTAACTGTCTCAGATTTTTGATCGAGACAAGGCCCGTAAACAAAATTACAATAATTGGACTGTGATAATACAAGAGCCTCACATAATTGCTTTTTTAATTTATAGTTTAGAAAATCTTTGTTTTTGTATAGGTTTCTTAAGGAGATGAACGATGCCCTGACCACTTTACTCACTTGAGATCTAAACCTCAACTGCGAGTCAAATATAAGTCCTAAATATTTTGATTCCCTTTCTACGGAGATAATCGAATCAGACATTTTTATTTTCATGTTCTGGGCCGCCCAGTTATTATTTGGTCCGAAGTAAACGATTACTGACTTTGTCGGATTTAGTTTTAACCCGTTCTTGCTGGAATAAGTGTATATTTTTCTAAACACTGTTCAACTTTGTTCTGGGCTTCGTATGCTTCTGATTTTCTAAAACTTAAATGTAATTGGGTATCGTCGGCATATCTATGCATTTTGCAGTGGTTATCGTCCACTGCCATGTCCATGGTGTATATAATAAAAAGTAACGGACCGAGAATGGATCCCTGAGGAACGCCCTTAGTAGTAAACTTTGCCTCCGATTGATTACCATTAATCGAAACAAATTGGGACCTATCAACTAGATAGCTGTGAAAGAAATTAACAGCAGCCACAGAGAACCCGTAATACCTAAGTTTAGCACAAAGCAACATGTGGTCCAACGCGTCAAATGCCTTACTATAATCCAGCATTATCAAAGCAGAAGTTCGACCTTCATCAGCTGCAGATATAATGTCGTCAAGCACACTTAATAACACAGAAGCTGCGCTATATCCCTTTCGAAAGCCTGACTGAGTGGGCGGTATAAGGTTCGAATCGTTCAGATAACTAACAAGTTGTATGTATATCGTCTTTTCAAATATCTTTGACAAGGTAGGTAAAAGGCTTATGGGTCTTAAATCTGAAAAACTACCAGGATTATTTATTTTAGGAATAGGCGTTACAGTAGCTACCTTCCATTGAGTCGGATAAACTCTAAGATCACAGATAAGATCCCCAAGCGATTCGCTTCCACACATGTAAATATCGACCAGAGAACAAGACTTGCTAGCGCGGTATGTAGTAATAGTCCATTAAAGTAAAAAAATGTGTTGGGAAATGTTCACATAAAAACCAGTTTTTGTATTTTGTCTATTTTTTTTAATTTTATCTTGTACCTACTAGGTATTGTTCAAATTCGAACAAATTCACAAAAATAAAAATAAATTTAATGTTTATAATTAAAACCACACTCCATCATCTTCTTCTTGTATATTTTCTTGATCAGGTTGAATCTCTTGTGAAATTTCCTCATCTTCACTTTCACTCACTGCTAAATCATCGTGAATTTTTATACCTTGACGTGGCATTGTTTCTTCAACTTTTCTTACTACTGTTAGTCCAGACATTAGAAAATCGGAAGGGTCATAATTCGGATCTATATCCATACTTTCCTCTGTAAAATAAGGTGTCGAATAACATATTACGTTATAATATACGGTCCTGTACACTTTATCTCCCTGGTCTATATTTCAATGCATGCGATAGAGATAAATATAAATGACCGGTTAACAGGCAGAGAGACGAAATAAAAAGCGACATACAGTGTTGCCGGTTTTTATGTGTGTAGGTAGGGATATGTGTGGATAGATAATAAATGTCGCAAAAAAAATATTTTAAAAACTTTCATGTATACTACTGAAATGAAGATAATATATATAGCTAAATATAATCTATTACAGCTGTAGTACTAATTGTGAAAAATAAGCGGTTTGAAATTTGATGCAAAACCCGGCAATACCGTATAGAAGGAATGTATCAACCCAACTTTTATCTCTATTTAATACATATAATTTTTGCTTAAGCTGTCTACATCACTGAATTACACGTTAAAGTCCAGACCATGCAGTTTTGATGACCAGATCGGTATATTATATTGTATTGTGTCTAAAATTGAAAGGAAAAATTGGTGACAAAATTACGAATTTTATTTGACACTTGTTAAATGTCAAAGTAAAACAAGTAGCCTTTAAACATTGCGACGTAACTATATGCATGATATAAATAAGTAGTGATGCTATATTATTGTTCTTACTTCTGAAGTTCTTTTGAAGTTCCTATAGTGTTTAAACAGTAATTAAATCCGAATAAATAAGGTTCCGAAAACCCTACTCGGTATGTACCATGTGTAGCGGGTGACCAACTAAGAATGGACGCCGCAGCTCAGAACCTACTTAACGTATAACTCTAGGAAAACAATTCTCTAACAAGTTAATCGGCCAAGAGAAATTGCTTGAAATTATTTTCAAGCTCGAAAAATGTCCGCTAGGGGGCGAATCGATAGCCAGTCAGAAAACCGGATTTTCTCAAAAATATGCACGTGAAGAGGAATTTTAAATATTACTATTGTAATCAATGGAGAATTTGTAATACTTTTGCAAAAAAGATAAAGCAAATTTTGCTTTATCTCATAAAATAAAGTGGTGGGGGAAGTTTAAACTTGCTTTTATTAAAATAAGGATAACTCTGATTTAGGTTAACGTAATTAAACAAAGGTTATTTTAAGAGCTTTTCTTCCTTAATAATCCGCAATATAAATATTGTCTCGATAGATTTTCCCGTATTTGGTACAGGGTTTTACATGATAACAGATACTGTGTTTATTAATAATTTCCAGCAATTCCTCTTGGCTGATTTACTTATTAGAATTGTTTCCCAAACTTAACGACAAGTAGTTTCTGAGATACAGTTAGCCTCCATTCTCAGGTGGCCACCCGGTACATATTACTTTTCAATAACTCACCTTGCTGATAAAAACCCATAGATCCTAATTGAACCATTGCTTCTGCCGCCTGCTGACTGTCATCGTCAGCACCCTCGCCAGGAAGTTCTGCAGATATTATTAGTCCTTTTTGATCATCTTCAAATTCGGTTAGAGGAACCTAAGAATCAAAGTGTTAACTGAACTCTATATTTATGTAGTATTACTATACTAATCAAATGGCCTTCAAAGTCAGTATAACAGATTATACAGTGATTCTTTAAATAGAAAAATTTAATAAAACTAAATAAAAAAATAAAACAGCCCACGAAAGTTCAAAAACAGGAAATGGAAAAAAAATGGGAAATGGCAGGAATATTAAAAAGATGGACCGAAAAACTGCTGGTAAATGATATAAAGAACATCCCAAGAACCTTGCGAGGTAATGAGAGTACATTATACGATTACATTTTATATTTATTTTTTTACATTTAGCCCTCCAGCAATCATACCACGCCATCGAAAAAAAAAACGGCACCAAAGACGGCTGTGACACCGCTTTTGCAGGGATGTATGAGTAAAAATAAATTAGTTCAATAAAATAATAGTAAACAGTAAACCTTGAAATTAATTATATATAACGAAGATTTGTTTAATTTAATAATATATTTACAATATACCTCATCTAATTCATCTTCACTTGAAAATTCTAAATCTTGCTCCAAAGTTGCAGGTTCTTCTGATTTGATCTTCTTCTCAGGACTAATTTCATCCACTGTAATATCACCTTCAACGTCAACAAAATCGTAGTCATCAAGTTGCGACTTTATCGATGATAAGTGATCTGGAGAGCTGGATTGACTCTAAAATAGATTTTATTAAAAATTAAATTAAGTTTATTTTGTTTTTTTTTTGCTATTTATTTCTTGTTATGGTTATATTTTAAACATTGGTTAAGATGGAAGAAACTAAACAGGCACTGAATTTTCAAAATATTGTACATAATCATTATTACGTACTTAATTTTTTTATAGTCTAATTTCGTTTGTTTAATTTATAGTACGAAGTTCAATGTTTTGACTGAAAACTTGCAATGTTGTAAATTTTCAAAACCATTGAGAATCCAAATACTATATAAACATTCTATGGTTGTTTCTAATTTTTTTAACACACTTTAGCAACTATATACAGGGTGGTCCGAACTGTATTCCGGAAACTTCGGCAGCATATTCTGCAGATAAAAATAAGTAAAAAAGTTCGTATAAATGTATTGGTGGGTTCATACAGCCAAATAAAATAAAATAAGAATAAAATAAAATAAGAAATAAGGAATTCTTATTTGTGTGCGTTCATACAGTCAAATAAAATAAAATAAGAAATACATATTTGCTCATGCGCAGTACGATGAGGCTGGATAAAAGTTAACTTTTACGATTGTTTATAGTAATTTTACTATTTATAGTATATTTATTTATTCGTTGCCTACTATATTATACATTTTACTTATGTGAAATTATAAAATAAATTAAATCCAAACTGAAAATATTATTAGGTTAGAATTAAGCGTGCGCAAAGCCGTTTTCACATAAAATAAAACAAGAAGTTAAAAGATAAAGACTTCTTATTTTATTTGTTATTTTATTTGGCTGTATGAACGCATGTACGGTATCCCATATAACCAACTTTCTTATTTTATTTTATTTTATTCTTATTTTATTTTATTTGGCTGTATGAACCCACCATAAGTCCTAAAATGCTTTGTTTCAGAGATACAGGGTGTAGAAGTTTTATTTTTATTTCGATTTTTTACAAATAATTTATGAAGTAACGTCAATATTTGGATGAAAATTGGTGTCTGGGAGTTTTTTGACATGAGAAATTTGATTTTGATGTCAATATGACTCCTACTTGTAGAGGGCGCCACCTACATATGCTTTCACTGGTTTGAAGAGTAATAACTTTTCATCCATACCTGTATAAAACTGCTGAGTAAAATATATACATTTACAACTTTTTTTTACATAAAAAAGGTTTCTTGGTAAAAATCGCTACGAGTAATGTTTCTCGAGATATTTGAAATTGAAATTATCAATACCTGTCATCAATTGACAGAAATATTAAATTTGAAATCTTTTTGTGCCAAAAGTTCAACAGAAACTGTTTAATCATAATTTTTTCGCAGAAAAATTTATGATTAATTTAAAAAAATAAAAAATTATTATTTCAGTCAAATAACTCTATTCAACGTATGCTTATTTTTTGTCAATAATGACATAGATTGACTATTTCCAGTTAAAATATCTTGAGAACGGTTGCTCGTAGCGATTTTTACCAAGAGACATTTTTTAAGTAAAAAGTCATGGAAATGTATATTTTTTAGTCAGTAGTTTTATACAGGTACCGTCGAAAAGTTATTACTCTTCAAAACAGTCAAAACGCATGTATGTGGCGCCCCCTACAAATAGGAGTCATTTTGACATCAAAATCAAATTTCTCGTGTCACAAAACTCTCAGACACCAATTTTCATCCAAATATTGACGTTACTTCAGAAATTATTTAGAAAAAATCGAAATAAAAATGAAACTTCTACACCCTGTATCTCCGAAACAAAGTATTTTAGGACATACATTTATACGAACTTTTTTACTTATTTTTATCTGCAGAATATGCTGCCGAAGTTTCCGGAATACAGTTCGGACCACCCTGTATACTGATATTTACACAAATTTAAACATAATATAAATTTAATTTTTTTTATTATCGGAGGTGGTATAATTGTTAAAATCACCGCCTATATGACATAAAACTTAAAACGAAAAAAAAACACATACTAGACTTTATTAATAAATTATCAGTTTCACAGTAGATAAATTCTTACCACTCTATCATGATCGACCAGTGAGAAACTTTCATCTTCATTTACCATCCAGTTTTCATCGTCTTGTATTGCTTTTTCTTCTGCTAAAGCTAATTTATTTTCCAACTGGGTTAAGTGTTCATCATACTAAAAAAATATTAATTAAATCTATTATAATAATAATACCTACCATTCCTATTATAATTTTATTATAATAGAACTGTAACTTCTTTCCATCAGTTGACGATAGTAAAGTTAATTATGACTGCGTTTTTTAATAATATAGCGTGTTGCTGATGTTTTAAAAATATAGGCATTTCTTATACTGTTTAAAAAGTATAAGTATATTTAATTATTTTAGAAATCTTGAATTTCTAGAGTATCAAAGTGTATTTTATTGTATAGATTTCCAAGTTAAAAGAGATACGATTTACCTGGAAAAAACTGGTATATGTTCCGAAAATTATAAATTAGACAATAAAAGGGGATAAAGGCCTAACATTTTTTAATTTAATAAAAACGAAACTCAGTCAATTAATAATTTCATAATGTACTTAAAATTTTCTAAACAAATGAACTAATCTCAGACACACTCTAAAATGCATATTTAACAAATAATGATGACGTAACGTTAAACGATGACTAAACGACAGTAGATACCTAACCAGTTTTATTAACATTACATACCAAGACAAAGCATTAGAAGTATTATAACGTGTAAATTATATATTATATTTTATATCGCTTTTTTCTTTGTTTTTCTAGAGAAATATGAATTATATAAAAAAGTACCTCATCCAATGCAGCCTTACAGGTATGAACTAGCATTTCTGCTTTCTCAGTATATGGAGAATCTTTTCCATTGTATAAAATACAATTTTCTAGTATTTGCTGCACATCTACTAAAAAGTCATGTCGGTTGTGATATCTATGAGCTGAAATAACAAACAAAAAATATTATTTTAATATCTTTAAGAAAACATTTTTTTTATATCCTATTTCCCAAAATGTAATAACATACAACCTGTACAAACTACCAAAAACTTTTATAGATATAACTTCTAGAAAACGAAGAGCTCTACAAAAAATGTCCTATGAAATTTTCCCATAAAAGTGGAAAAATGTTAAAATTTATCGTCAAGTGTTTTTTTAATTTCCAACATTTTCGAAATAATTAAGAATAAAAAATAATCAATTTTTTAAAAACTAAAGTAAAATTGACTTAAAACTTACTGATAATCTTTTTAGAAATGGTCTCTAAATCCATTGGCCTCTTAATTATTGTGTAGTAATCTTTTACATTCTTTTTATTTACTGGTTTATGGAAAGGCCATGACTCTGACAATGATTTTAATCTAGTATTCAAAATATTCTCTAATAAGTATGTAAAAGCAACTTGATCGTTATCTAAAAGAGGGTTTATAGCTTTCTCTAGACGTATTAATCGTTCTTCCTTTTCCCTTAATCTCTCTACACATTTATTTAACATCCTTGTGGCTGCTACTGTTAGACTACTTTTGGCTCCATTATATAACGTCGAGTTTTCAACTATTTGGTTCACATCAGCCAAAAACTCTTCGCGACTCTGGTATTTTTTCTGCCTAAAATTAATGGCATATAGGGTCAAGTGGTGTAAAAATGAGACAGGCCATGTTTAAGTAAAAATGAGACATTCAAATAAAACTATTAAAAACTTATATTCAGTCAGTTTTCTTGTCAAGAACATTTAATAATAATTGTTAACACCATCATCATCCTCATAATTTGTTTAATCTTTGTGCGATGAATCGTGGAAAAACTGAAATTACAAATCCATTGTCTCGTTTTGAGGTTTAAAACTTTTGAAACTGATTACCAACTTTTGTCGGGCGACACCAGTATGACTGACATCAGGATAAACTGCGTCTGCAGAGGCATGCCATTTCTACACCCAGCACATCTCTTTTTTAAGGGTACTTTTGGTATATTTTTACTTCTGTAATAGTTTCGTTACCACCAAACGCATATTATAGAAGAAATACTTTTGTATTTAAATAGTTCTTATTAAGAAAAAAAACCGGAAAGTTTTTCGAAAAATGTCTCATTTCTACACCACTTGACCCTATAAAACTTTAAAAATTTATAATTGTTTTTCACCTGAGATTCTCTCTTATTGTCTGTAAGTCCATTGGTCTCTGAATAATTTTGTAATAATCAATAACAATTTTAGAATTGACGGGAAACAAAAAAGGTTGTACATCAGGCATATCTCTCATTTCATTAAGAATATTTTCTAGGATTGTTGATAACACAACGACCGGGTCAGTTCTTCGTCTGTTAGCGGGTTTATTATGTTTCTTTAAATAATCGCAATGCAAATCTGATAAAGCTAAAATTGAATTCCAAATATGTTATGATGATAATTTACAATAAGTTAACTGTACCTTTTCTTTTCTTTTTCCCAATCACATCTCTAGGTACTTTTAATAGAAGACTTCTCCTTTTCATTTCTTCAGCATGTTTAATTAGCTTTCCGGAAAGTTTTACTTTTGTTCCATCGACGTTGACTAAATCTTCATCATCGGTATTCAACTGTTTTTCAATTTCTTCTTCTTGTTCCTCCGTTAAAGCTACATTCATGGAGGAACAATTTCCCCCAACTGTAAAAATATTAGTTTATGATTTTTATCTTATTAACCATTTTATTATTTTTATATAGGCTTGGTGCATTTCAAACGACGTTTTAAAAATCCGACAGCAGCGCTCGGTACAGCAGAAATCAGAACTGCCCGGCTACTTTATTTCACGCCGTCCCGGTTACCCTTCATTTTATGAGAAATATATATACGGAATATAATATATACAGAACGGATAGATGTACTGTAAACAAAGTGCCCATTACATAATCAAAAAATTAAATAGGCATATACTATGAGAGAATAAAATACAAGTTGTCGCGAGAAATTCCGTTGGAATTACAGGAGGAAGCGGCTGCGGCTACTCAAAATTTACTTCCGACTATAACCAGAGAGAGATATCAGCAGGAATATGACAATTTTTTGAAGTGGCGGCAGGATAGAAGTATAAACAGCGTAAATGAAGCGGTATTGCTGGCTTATGCTAAAAGAATGTCTGAAATGTATTCTCCTACATCACTGTGGACAAAGATATCCATGCTGAAGCTTGCGTTGAGAGTATATGAAAACATCGACATATCAAGGTAAAAGCCATTATATTCTTCGATATTTAATCATACTCATCTAAATTATATTTGTTCATAGATTTGGTAAACTGTTCATGTTTCTGAGGCGCAAAAACGAAGGTTATTCACCAAAAAAGCAAAGTTCTGTCGGAGAATGACATAAATAATTTTCTACTGGATGCCGATGATTACACCTGGTTACTCGAAAAAATTGTATTGGTGCTTGGTATTCTTGGAGCTTGTAGGCGCAGCGAGCTTTGGTCACTCACAGTTGATGATTTCGAAGATTCGGAGAAAAATATTCTTGTCTCATTAAGAAATACTAAAAATAAGAAAGATAGGAAATTTCTTATTCCAAAAACGGGCCTTCCGTTTGATGCCTATGGTTTATACAAAAAATACATCAACCTGCGTCCTCGTAACTTTGACAATCCAAAATTTTTCATTGGTTACAAGAAAGGCAAGTGTGTTAAGCAAATCGTCGGTATACATACCATCGGGAGCGTACCGCAGAAAATTGCAAAATTTTTGAACTTGGAGAATCCAGAACGTTATACAGGGCATTCATTTCGTAGATCATCAGCAACCATGGTGGTGATTTACTCGTTCGCCGAAAATGGTGGTGATTTACTATCGCTAAAGGAGCTAGGAGGATGGGAGTCTTCAACAGTGGCAGAAACTTACATAGAAAAATCAGTTTCCAAAAGAATGAAAATAACAAATCAACTTTTTCATGATAGCTCCAAAAATAATGTGTCTTTAGTGGATACAAATATTTGCCATTCTTCAGTAGCATCATCTTCTTCTATAAAATCTGTAAATCCCTGGGAAGGATTACAGATTTCTAAGAACAACAAGTGCACTTTTTAATTTCCATGTTCATTATCATGAAAAATGAATTTTAGTATAAGACATTATGTATTTTTTATCCTTACTTGTGTTATTGTTCAATAAAATTTGTTATTAAATAGTAGTGTTTATTGCTCTAAAAAATCTGCAGTATGACGAAAAATCTAGAACGCAACACGGCCGATAACAAATAACGGCCTTGGCTGCTTATGATCCTCGGCTATCGCCTCGGATCACAAACTTCAGCCCGGCCGTTATTTGTTGTTTATCGGCCTTATTACGTTAATAACTATTATATAGGCTTGGTGCATTTCAAACGACGTTTTAAAAATCCGACAGCAGCGCTCGGTACAGCAGAAATCAGAACTGCCCGGCTACTTTATTTCACGCCGTCCCGGTTACCCTTCATTTTATGAGAAATATCGAGAGAATATCGTTTCCGCACTTACGGATGCCCCGTAGCTACAGAACGGATAGATGTACTGTAAACAAAGTGCCCATTACATAATCAAAAAATTAAATAGGCATATACTATGAGAGAATAAAATACAAGTTGATCAAAATTAATGTATGTATTATTTTAATCAACTAGTGCTTAAATTTTTTATGGATATCTTCTAAAATTATAATTATATACGTTTACGGCCTAAATAAAATCGCTATTTAAACCGTTTATTTGTTTCTGCCGTTTAACGTATTCTCCGACGTGACAGCACAGGGGGAGAATGCACCAAGCCTACACACTATGTTATCAAAATGTTATATACCAATATTATGATATAACGGACAGGCCTTATTTGTTCTCATGTGGCCCACATTTCCACATGCACCACATTTAAGTTTTAAGTCTGGTTTAAGTTTCGTTTTTCTTCTACTTTTTGATGGGCTAGTTGTCGCGCTTTTTGTAGGAGCGGATGGCGATGTAGGTATTTCGCTTGGATTTGGCAACTTTTCAGTTGGAATATTTGGAGCTAAAGATGTTTTTGGTAATTGCTGTTGTACCATTATTAATCTGTAAAAAACACTCATTAGCTTCTTAATTAATTATGTAGTATTAATAACATCTATATCTAAAAAAATATTAACTAATACCTATAATAACCCATATACAGGGTGGTCCGAATTGTATTCGACAAACTTCAGCAGCTTATTCTGCAGATAAAAATAAGTAAAAAAGTTCGTATAAATGTATGTTTAAAAATTTTTCGTTTCGGAGATACTTTTCCTACACTATAGACATAGAGATTCGTTTCATTTTTAGTTTATTTTTTTCCAAATGATTTGTGAACTAACGTCGATATTTGGATGAAAATTTGTGTTCAGAAATAATTATTTGAACAAAATTTAAATAAAACTGAAACTTCTACAACTCTATCTCCAAAACTAAGCATTTTAGTTCATACATAAATATATACGAACTTTTTAATTTATCCTAATGACGTCCAATCGCACAGGAAAGAGTTTAAAAGAAAATGGTTCTATTACCTTTCTTTTTCTTGATTCCTTTTTATCCTTCTAAGTTGTTCTTGAATCCTTCTCTTTTCTCTCTTCATCTCTTCTTTTTGTGCCTCGTCTAGTGTAGCAAATTGTCTAATAAAACTATCATCCTTAGTAGTTCTGATCTTGACGTATGCATCTATCACTGCTGGTTTTCTTACATATTCTACTCGAGTGTATTCTTTTCCACTAGGATGTCTAAACGTTCTTATTATTTTTAAAACCCTTCCTAAAACAATATTTATTTTCTATTATATTACATTTAAATGCAGAAAATACTTAATGGGTATAGGCTTGGTGCATTTCTACCGTTGTTTGAAATTTCCGACAGCATGCTGGGTACGACATAAATCAGAACTATCCACTCAACCCCTAGTTACCTTTATTTTTTTACACAAAGGCTTACTTGCCTGTGTGTAACAGAGGTCGACGAAACAAATGGGTAAACAAAGTATCCATTACAAAACCAAAAAATTAAATAAGCATGTACTGTGAGAGGATAAAATGTAATTTGATCAATATTAATAGTATACTTTTTTTAATCACGTGTCAAATGGAGGATTAACCCACATCAAAATGTGGGTTAATTTTTTTCTGAATATCTTCTAAAATTTGTAATTATGTACCTTTAAAATATTTCGTTACAGCCCAAATAGTCCCAGTTATGTCCCCGCTAGCAAAACCGGTGCGTAAAACTATTCTCGATACCGTAGTTGAACTCGTCTAGAAAGTTTTATTATCTTGAATAAGAAATTATAATACAAGTTAAACCTTTTGAAGATATCAAAATTACCCTTTTTATTTTTTAGAATGTTTAGAAATTATAGTTTTAGAACACGAAAAACAATTTGTTATATAATTAATAACATTTTTTTTGTGTATTCGCTATTTAAACCCGTGAGTCGCCTGTTTACGGTATTCTCCGATGGTGGCGGAGAATGCAGCAAGCCTATATTATGGGTAAAATAAAACACAAATAAGCTTAATGTATTAAAATGACAAAATATACTTGTTTGCTTTACCTTGTTGAGAGAAAATAGATTGATCTTGACTTTCTTCTTCGTCCTTCTTCTTATCCTTATTTTTATCTTTCTCCCCTTCCAAAATCATTTTTCTTAATTCTTGTCGTTCTTGTTCCTCTCTTTCAAGGGATAACTGGGTACTAGTTTTTTTATTTGCCAACATATTTTCAATATTTTTCCCCATTTCTTCTATATCTTCATCGCTCTCATCTTCAGAACTTTCACCTGTTATTACCAATTTTCAAAATTAAAAGAATGCTTTTTAGTTTTATATTTTTGGTTGGTGAAATCACAAAAATTCTAAAATCATACAACCACGAAAAAAATACAAAAATCATAGAACGAGAAGTAAATACCAAAGAAGACCGGACAAGTGCGAGTCGGACTCGCTCACCGTTCCGTACAAATTTGTAGGTAATAATTAATAATCTGTGTAAGCTTGTGCCAATGAAGCCTTTTCATACAATACCCCACGTGACACGATTAACCCAATTCAAAATTTGGACCGCGCGCCGTTCCTTGCATAAAGACCCTTTTCTGTGATTTAATTAAAAATATACGCCTTTTAGATTTTTTCTATTCTGTACAAATTGCTATACATTTAAAAAAAATCTACAAAAAATTTGCATCCCGTTGCTTAACCTCGATGATTATTTGCGCACTCTAAATAAAGACGAATAAGTAATGCAAAATATCATAGTTCTAGATCAACGGAAAATGCCCAATAAATTTGATTCCCTTGAGACTGGGTAGTATCTTTTTTAACATTAACTTTAGAAATTTAATTTTTTTCACAGCTTCAAGGGACCGTAGACCTTAGTTTATGGTTTTAATTTGAACTCGATACCTCCACGCGTTCCCGAGATAAAAGGTCTTGACAGACAGTAGAACGGACAAACAGACAACAAAGTGATTCTGTAAGGGTTCCGTTTTTTTTCCTATTGAGGTACGGTACTGTAAAAATAATAGAATAAAATAAAGTTTCCTAAAATTGTAATTATCTATATGAATCTTGACAGACGATATTCAAAAATTGGTTGAAAACTTTTTTTATTTAAAATGATTCTGTTTTAAATCACCACCTGTGAATTTAAAAAAAAATACTTTCATTCTCAAAATCATTTCCTCACAATTCTTTTTCCTCAAAAGCAAATCACTAAGTATAAGAAATCTAAATATTCATTGTATACCTTCATCAGTACTTAAGACTTCGGAACTAGCTAAAACTCTATTCTGCAAATCAAAAATTCGTTGGCATTCTTCTTTATATCTCTCCTGGTGTTCAGCAATTGAAAATCTATTTCCTCTCGAAAATTTGTCCATTCCTTCTTCGCCAGCTTTAGCTTTCTCTGTAGATAGAGTACGTACAACATCGATGACTTCCCAACGGGAGAGTTTTTTGATCTCCTCTTCTGGTACTCCAAATTTTCGGAGAAGTGCTTTAGCGTTATTCAGAGATAATCTTCTAAGATCGGCATCAGTACCTAAAAAAAAGTATATCCTCTAATCCAGGTGACAACAAAATAGATACCCGGGGACAACAGGCAACATTTTCTTAAGTCATTTTTAATCTAAATCAAAGCAGAAACTATCGTTGAAAGTCACTAAATTAAAAAAATTATATGATGCGGACTTTATGCTGTATCTTGAACACACTGTATACCAGTTGAACTAATGGTACCTACATAGTGAGGCATCTCGATGCATCGCGGCGAGCATCCCATCGAGATGCCCCACTATGTTTATACCCTAAGTTTCTCAGGAAAATACCTGTAACAGTTCTTTTTGGCTGTGATTCCTGATCTTCTTTACTCTGAGTCGGTTTATTCGGTACCCTTACATAACTAAACCCTTCACCGCATCCTGTAGGATCAGCAGGTCCATTTAACTGTAGCAAACATTTGCCTTTCATAGCTTGTATATATGCTCTAGTCGTATTCCAAGGAGCGACTTTAACTTCATCGTCCATTTTTAATTGCATTTCCTCGTCGTCATCTTCCGCTGGCGTAAGAATAAATTTTTCTCCATAACCAGCATCCTTTAATCTGAAAATGACAAAATTGTCTATTTCAAGATAAATGTATTTTATAGCTCAATGGAAAAAATATTATATACAGATCTCCATAATTTTTGTATTAATGTTCATTTTTTAGGGTTCAGGGTTCCGTATCTCAAAAGGAAAAAAAACGGACAAGTGCAAATCGAACTCGCCCACCGAGGATTCCGTATAAAACTATATTTTTTTATGATCTAATTCCAAATATATAGTTATCAGATTTTTCCCGATACTGGTAGTATAATGCGGTATTACTTGCTATAAATTTTGATTCCGTTAATCTTAAACAGATTTTTAGTTATTTTTATGATGTATAGTTTTCGAAGGATGAAAAAAAGGTCGGAAAAAACTGCGAGACTAGATTCTGAACTATTTATAATATGTACCTATAAATTTGTGCCTACTCGGTGGACGATTCTTGTCCGTTTTATAACCACTCGACCTTATTCGCACTTGTCTGTTTTTTGTCCAACTTAATATCAAAATTGATTGTACTACAATTTCCTTTTATTACTAGATATGTATCATATACAAACCTCTGTTCAGCAGCTACCATACTAAAATAAGCACAACACTGTTCGGGAGATACCATGGCCCTAATTTCTTCCTCCGTGGGCAATCGAAATTCAGGTTTTATAACCCACCAATTCGAATCCATTCCAGTTCTTTTAAAGTCAGCACAAAGTTTAAGTCTCTTTCTTATGCTACTTTCCGAATGTGACGGAAAAGCTCTTTTAATATCGTCCATTTTTATACGCCTGGGATTGTCCTTACTTTTCCAAAACAGACGATATATAAATACTTGTAAAAAATCTCTAACAAAATTATTTGCACGTTTAGAATTCGGACCAGGTACTTCATATAATGGACATTCTTGGCCAGCAACGAATAGAGAATCGATTTCTCTAATGTAATATTGTTGTCTGGTTCGTATAATTAAAAAATCTACGATAAAGGTGCCTAAGTAAAGTAACTACACTATAAATAACTCTGTCGAAGATGCACCGTTAACGTGTACCACATTAGAATATTTATGTACGCGGGAAAAAACGTCATCATAGCTGTGATCAAGTATATAAACACGCAGCACGTCAGTTTGAACTAATACAGTTTATATAATTTTTGTATTACAATTCCTACGATTTTTTGTTTGAACTAAATATATATATACAGGGTGTCCCAGAAATAAGTGCAAGTATTTTAACTGGTAGTATAGTTCAACCCCAAAAAAACGCCTATGAGGTTTTTTTGCGAAAAAAAAAATTGAAAATTCGAATTTTTTTGAAAATTTTTTTAGAATTTTTTTTAGTTTTTAGTTAAAAAAACATAATTTCTTGATAATACGGCAACATAAGTATTTGATTAAATTTACAAGAAATATCCAGAAAAGATCCAGAGTTTCTCAAAATTTTAGCAAAATATCATTTTTTTGGAAATTTTTAAAGTAAAATAACTCTATCTCCAAAACTTTATTTTGGACTTATTTGAAAAACGATAGAGAGAAAATACGTTTCTTTTATCGAGATCTACCACCCCTTAAAATACTTGCACTTATTTCTGGGACAACCTGGATATATATCAAAAATTAACCTTTGCACATTAAATGAACAAATAAGTCAAGACAATTATTTTGTTTATGGCGTATAACTATTTGATCTGCATCGTTTTGGTTTGATTTTTGCCTTTAACTTTATGTTTAACGGGTAACACGGGTAACAGGAAGGGTAAGGTAACGCTATCTGTACAAATTAGGCAAAGAAAACAAAGTCCTGCTACTCTGTGTGCCTGCCTACCAAGGGATAGAAGTCAATGAAAAAGCAAAGAATCTAGCTAGAAAAGGAGCGAACACTCCACTAACTGGACAGAACTGTTCTGTTTCCCAAGTGTAAACCAACTTAAAGCGGAACTCAAGAATCTGGAAGACTCCATCTTAACCTAAAATGGGAATCCTCCAAGGGTCTAAGACACTCGAAGAAACTTTTCAGAACTTTAAGTAAGAACAATCTTCCGATTATCACGGGTTTTTAACAGGACGCTGCCTCCTTAATGAACACCTCAGAAGAATGAAGATAAGAAACAACGGCGAATGTAGATATTGTAAAAATAGGGAAACGCCAGAACACTCCATCACTGAGTGCGCCGAGACGACAACCATTCGTGCCATAAACTTATAGGTACGACTGATGTTTGAGTAATCTAACTTCAATTTTATTTAACGTGTATGTTTGAATATTTAGGCACTTCTAACTTGGTAAACGTAAATACTCTACGCCAAAAAAGTGTAATGACGTTTTGCGTGCACCGAAGTTTTATATTTAGTACACGTTAACATGCACCTAGACACAGCGTATAAATAATTCTAGTTAAACCTGTAGAAGGTATCTGATGACGGTAGATGGGAGCTCGATACATATTATTTTCGATAGCTTGTATAGATTGACCTGGATGTAAAATTCCCAAAAATGGGGAAGTATGTGCATAAGCCGTTTCTCCATATTTATAAGTTGGAGGTCCTACATCTTTAGCAGCTTTTCTTTTATAATAGTTCTTTATTTTAGAACACATTCCCACCTAAAAAGTAATCAAAGATAACACCAGCAACATCTGAAGAAAATTAAGTCAAAACAAAAAAAAAATACATAAAATCAAAGATATAATATGGCGACTTCCCCTAGGAGATACAAGACCTTGACTTTGGTAGGGAAGCTCTTAGTAAGGTACTAGGGACCATGTGGGACAGCTTACACTTGCGCGAGACTAGCTTCCACAAGTGGCACAGAAGCTATCATCTCCTATAGTAAGGGTCGGTAGCCTATTTCTAGACCCAACAGGGTACACAAGCTACCGTTTCCTCTACAGTTTCCCAGTTAAAAAATTAAAGTTGGAGCCTGGGTCAACAAGGCGGGCTAGATGACTAGCTGAGATTGGATCTCAGCGGAACAGGAGTACGGAGATACCTCCGACTGCTCCACAAACGATGTGCTCCAGAGGACGTAAAAGCGAAAACACTCCTCGAAACAGGGGAGCGTAAAGGAACCAAGACACAGCCTAGCGCATCCCCACCAAAGGTCAAGAGAGAGAGTGAAAATCTCTCAAGGAGGAGTTTGTCTCCGTCCACAGTCGAGGAGTTTGTCTCTTAGGTAGAGGCTGGGGGATCTGTCTCCATTTTCTCCACCTCTTTAACTTGGTCTCTCTGTAGACCTGATATCGGTGTTGTCCCGAATCTATAATAGAGGACATATATCTCTTTCTCTACTGCCTCCTTGGACTTGAGGTCAATTCCTATTGTGAGGACCTGACCATGAAGAAGATACCCATGTATGATGAGTTATAGACTATATAACTCCATAAAGGGAGATAGAACACAAACAATAGAACTTTAAGGTCGCAGTGATTAACTCTCTTCCGCTCATTCTACATTCTACATAATATGGCGAAGTCAGAACCTGTAATATTTAATCGTATCTGAATATTATAACAAATAAAACAGCGAGTCCATCGATATGATATTATAATTAAAACTCACTTGATTCATAAGAGGAGGATGTTCTTCACAAAATTCCACTAAAACTAAATCACCGTCTCTGCCAGTCAAGTCTTCTGGTGTTCTCATAAAAAATACATCACCACCTCCAGAAGCCATCCTTTCTTGTTCTCTTTGTTTAGCTTTTTTCTTAATGTACTTGACCTAATAAAAATATTCTCGAGTTAAAATATCTTACCAAAATATAAATTATTGTTGTATAAAAACATAATGCAAGTATTTACTTCAAATCTAGTTCAAATAATAGTGGAATAAACAACTAATTTATTCCATTAATTTCGAGGTTCTAAATGAACCTTTATTGTTTATAAAATATACCCAAGCAACATTTTAGAAAAAAAAATAAAGACATTACAATTTTGATTCTGCAGACAAGTTGCTGTGTTGTTTGGTAGACTAAAGGATTTTTGGAAGAAAAAAATTTGAAAATTATATATTATGTGCAATGTTTCCTCATTTGTTCGTTTCAGAAACACTATTCAGAAAATTTACGATATATTTATATATTGTATTAAATATTTATAGGAAAAATATCTTTCACGACAATTAAAAATAAAAAAATAAAACTTTTAATATTCATTATAAAAATGTTACTAACTAAAGGCAATGCAGAATGAGGTCCTGGATTTGCTAACTTTCCATGAGAAAAGCGCTTCATTGGAGGACGATGAAAATTCCTTAATCTCATAGGACCCATATGAGTCTGTATAAATGGAACTCTTAGTTCAACAACAGGTGTGGAATGTTGAATTAAGTTGCCACCTCCAACCTTTAATCGTAGTGTAGATTCAGACGCACGAGGCTGATAAAATCTGAAAAAAGGGACATAATGTAAATTATCAAAAACATTTCTAATTTATCTATACTACTTGAAGAAAAGAAACCAAAAAAAAATTAAAGTTGATATTTGTACTAAAATAAATTTAAGTTGGTATTAGTAAAAACAAAGTCGGAGTAAGCGCTCAATTCCAGTGTTGTCACGTTTATTAAAATTATTTTCTCTTATCTGAATTTATCTTTTTTAAATTTTCTTCGATAACACTATTTACTTTAGTTTCTACTATGAACTCATAGTGACACTTTATATATCATTTAGTAATTGATATCCTAAAATATTAATAAACCAATAAAATATTTTAAAGATCCGTATTCCCTAATCTGGCGATAAAATTTTAGATATGGCAAAATGTCCCCAATGGCGTTTATACTGCCCTATGTCGAGGAGCCAAACAATGGATTGGCTCGTGCGCTCTATTTATTTTAATCTAAGTAAATAACACAACACTGGAAATAGAATATATTTGGGACACAACTAATACATAGCTCAGGAACCCTACTACCAGAAATAAACAGACAAATTAAGTTAGCATGGAGTACATATGGAAGAATACTTACATGTCATTAGATATGTTAAACGGATCTCTATCCGGCGATTTTGGCGGCGGAGGTGGTGTATCTTCCTGAAGCACATTTATAACTCCAGCCTTACCAAGAAGAATTTTAGATTTTTTAACGTGAGGATGAGGAATTTTGACTTTAACGGGAGTAGCTTGGCCTGCAATTTGTTTTGAGGGATCTATATCGTCAGGTATGCCTACAATAAAAGAGATACAAAACAGTTTTTGTATAAAACTAATTTTAAAGTTTTAAAAATAACCTAAAATAATATTTTCATCGTTAGGATCTAAAGTTAATATGGAAGGTTTAGGAATATTGCTCATGCTTTCAGTATCCCAAATTACATCATCTTCCCACTTCCCATAAACTAAATCTTCATTTTCTACAGGAAATATGGAATACCATGTATCGTCTTGATCTTGATCGTTTCTTTGTCTAGTAAACTGTCTACAAAAAAAAATATGTTACTTCAAATACATAATCATAGTTAATAAAGAATATATAGGAATAAGATATAAAGATAACTAAAACAACAAACAATTATTGTTTGTGTACAGATTGTTGTAAGTTTATACAGGGTGAATAAAAATTTAAAAAAAGAATATTTAAAAGAAAATGCACGATTCTCAATATCTTTTTTTGCGAAAACAAATCTCATAGACGTGTTCCTGGGGTTGAAATATAAAAATATTTGCACTTATACTCAGCCTGTATAAATTATTCTTGGCAAATATTAAGAAATTAATATTTAGACTGAATAAATCCTTTAACAACCGTAAAAATAAACATATAACATGCAATAAAATTATTTATTTATTCGTGTCAGAAGCATCATCAAGATTACATTTCATATACATATAATATCACATACAACAACAATAACAATAACAAATAAAATAAAATAGTGATACAAGAAAATAAAATAGTGATACACAGCCATTTTTTTATTTATATTGTTGCGGACCCGTGTGGACTCGACCTAACCTAACTATATGTCCCGCCCTCAGATGACCTTTAACATCGCATTAAAGAATAGACACCGTAATGATTCATTCGTTCGAGAAGAATCGAGTCCCACTGGAATGGACTAGTACATACGAGAACATTCGAAAACCTTCTCTATGCACCTAACGATCTATGGACTATTCTAGATTTCTTTTGCTGTAGGTATAAAAGCCGGCGGCTGTGGCCTAGAGAGGGCAGTTATAAATATACCAGTGCAGTTGACGCGCTAAAATTTAAAATAAATTCTTAGTTATAAATCGTTTGTAAATAGTTCTATAAGTCTTTTATCGTTATTGTTTTTGTTAATTAGTGTTAAATAAATAGTGTTTAAATAAATTGTCATTCGAAGCGTGGAAGCCTCCAAAGTTTCGACTTCAAAAATTCCGGACAAAATGGTGAAGGACTTAGTAAACGTTAAAGAATTATCTCCCGAAAATAGTAGAAAATTGAGAAACCTGATAATCAAGTATCAAGATGTGTTTGATAAAGGAGAAGCAGGACAGAGAGGTCGTACCAATTTAGTACAACACAAAATTGATACCGGAGATGCACGACCAATCAAACAAAATCCGAGAAGACTTCCGCTCGCCAAACGTGAAGAAGCTGATAAAATCATTTGAGGAATGAAAGAAGAGGGTGTCATCGAACCATCTAACAGCCCAGTGGACATCGCCGGTAGTACTAGTAAAGAAGAAAGACTGTACCACCAGGTTCTGTGTTGATTATCGGCAGCTCAATAATGTTACCAAGAAGAATAGTTATCCCCTGCCGAGGATAGACGATACTATAGACACGCTGGCGGGGTCAACGATATTCTCTACGTTAGATCTGAAGAGTGGATATTGGCAAGTCGACATAGCGCCGAAAGACAGAGAGAAGACAGCGTTCTCGGTGGGCTCCGGACTGTGGCAATTTACCGTCATGCCTTTTGGATTGTGCAACGCGCCAGCTACCTTTGAGACTAATGGAGTCTGTGTTAAAGGGACTATCCTGGACTACCTGTTTAGTGTACCTGGATGACATCATAGTGGTTGGGAAATCCTTTGACGATCATCTGAAGAATTTGGAAGAAGTTTTCAAGCGACTAGGGAGCTCTGGTTTGAAACTTAGCCCCAAGAAATGTCATCTGTGTCAAGAAAAGGTACACTACTTGGGCCATGTAGTCTCCTCCCAAGGAGTTGCGGTAGATCCACAGAAGACCAAGACAGTGGAAGAGTGGCCAATACCTAAAGATAAACATGAACTACGAAGCTTTTGGGACTATGCACATACTATCGCCGCTATGTACAGGGTTTCGCCACCATCGCAAAACCATTGACCAGACTTACCGAAGGCGAGAGGCGTTTCTCTTGGGACTCAGATTCTGACGAGGCATTCCGAAAATTGAAGAAGGCCCTGACTAGTGCGCCCATACTTTGCTACCCTCTTGGCAACGGAAACTTTATATTGGATACCGATGCTAGCAATGTTGCGTTAGGCGCTGTTCTGTCTCAGATCCAGGATGGTCAAGAAAAAGTCATTGGTTATTTTAGTAAGACCTTGTCAAAACCGGAAAGGAACTACTGTGTAACCAGACGAGAATTACTAGCAGTAGTTAAAGCAGTGGAACACTTCTACAAGTATCTCTATGGAAGAAAGTTCTTGTTAAGAACAGACCATGCTGCTTTGAAATGGCTGTTGCAGTTTAAGAATCCTGAAGGGCAGGTAGCTAGATGGATTCACCGATTACAAGAATTTGACTTCGACACAGAACATCGAGCTGGGGCAATCCATCGGAATGCCGACGCACTTTACAGAAGACCTTGCGCTAAGGACTGTAAGCATTGTTCCCGAGCAGAAGAGAAAGAAGTGAAACTCCTAAGAACAACTGTGGTTAATGATAGTTGGCAACCCGAAGATCTTGCAAATGACCAAACCAGTGACCCAGAATTAGGTTTAGTAATTAACGCAGGCCAAAGACCAACGTGGGAAGAAGTTTGCAGATATTCGCCGAACGTAAAGTCGTACTAGGCCCAGTGGAATTCCTTGGTAATAGATAACGGACTACTTCGCCGTGTGATCGAGAGACCGGAGGGACAAGAAGAGAGAAGGCAGATCGTCATTCCAAAGAAGAGAGTCCCAGAAGTCTTGGAGGAAGTTCACAATGGAAACAGCGGTGGACATCTGGGTGTTACCAAGACACTTGGCAAGCTGCGTGAACGGTTCTACTGGGTGAACTGCAAAGAAGATGTGAAGGCCTGGTGTAAGAAATGTGACATTTGCGCAGCCATCAATGGACCACAAAAGCGTGGTAAAGCCCCTATGCGCCAGTACAATGTTGGTAGTCCCTTCGAACGAATAGCGATCGACGTGGCTGGTCCTTTCCCGGAGACGAACGATGGCAACAAATACATTGTGGTAGTAATGGATTACTTCAGCAAATGGGTCGAGGCCTACGCGTTGCCAAATCAAGAAGCGTCCACGATTGCTGATGCCCTTGTTAAAGAATGGATCTGCAGGTTTGGTGTTCCCATGGAGCTTCATTCAGATCAGGGAAGAAACTTTGAGTCCAATCTGTTCCAAGGCGTCTGTGAAGTCCTGAACATCCGCAAGACCAGGACGACTGCTCTACATCCACAATCCGATGGGATGGTTGAACGCATGAACAGAACTATCAACCGTTATCTGGCCAAAGTAGTCTCTGACCACCAAAGAGACTGGGACAAATTTCTTCACCTGTTCCTGTTGGCCTACCGTTCATCCGTCCAAGAATCTACAGGGCAAACTCCAGCCAGCATCGTTATGGGACGGGAAGTGCGCCTACCCTGTGATCTGAAATTTGGTTGCCGACCGGGAGAAGAAGTCGCCGGAGAAGATTATGTCCACACACTACGTCAAAGGATGGACGACATTCATCAGAGAGTCCGCCTAAATATTCAAAGTGCTAGTGACCGAATGAAGGAACACTACGACATTCAAGCTGAGCATGGAGGATACCAACCAGGGAAGTTGGTGTGGCTATATAACCCGCAGAGACGTCGTGGGTTATCTCCGAAGCTACAATCCTCGTGGGAAGGGCCATACGAAGTCATGGATAGAATTAATGACGTCGTATACCGTATCAGAAAATTGCCAAAAGGAAAACCGAGGGTAGTCCATTTCAACCGTTTGAGCCCCTACCAAGGCGAAATAGAAGATCGTGCTGGGACCGTGAGAACCTGCAGCTTTGATCCCCCTGATTCGGAGATGTCCTTTGACGATTTCATGGCCCGATACAACAGCAGTGAGAAGGCTCGCTATGGTGTAACCAAAGAAGATCAACGAGACCTCTTTTCCGTGCCTCCTGATTATTCGCTCGCTCATTGTGTGGCTCGAGATTTGCGGATGTCCAGAGGAATCGCTGCGACGTTCAATGAGAAGTTTGGGCGTGTCGGAGAACTACGCCGACAGGATCCAGAGGTTGGAAGCGTCTTGAGGCTAACCGACAATGCACATGGTCAAGCAAGGCACATCTTCTACCTGGTCACCAAGGAATGGTCCCCGAGTAAGCCGACTTATCTCAATCTATGGAAGACCCTGATTGAACTGAGAGAAGCCCTGCTAAACAACAACATTGCACGATTAGCCATTCCGAAGCTGGCGTGTGGACTCGATGGTTTGAGTTGGCGTACAATCCGGAACATGATTGAAGTCTTGTTCAGATTTACGGGAATCGAGATCCTCGTTTGCTGCTACAACCCAAAGCTGAGATCGGGAGAGAAAACTGTAGACTGCTATTTCTACCAGACTTCGCAATGTACCAGGGGCCAGCTTTGCAAATACCTTCATTCACCGTGTATATCTCGGGACGAGCATGTACATAAGAAGGGGGCAGTGTTGCGGACCCGTGTGGACTCGACCTAACCTAACTATATGTCCCGCCCTCAGATGACCTTAACATCGCATTAAAGAATAGACACCGTAATGATTCATTCGTTCGAGAAGAATCGAGTCCCACTGGAATGGACTAGTATATACGTGAACATTCGAAAACCTTCTCTATGCACCTAACGATCTATGGACTATTCTAGATTTCTTTTGCTGTAGGTATAAAAGCCGGCGGCAGTGGCCTAGAGAGGGCAGTTATAAATATACAGTTGACGCGCTAAAATTCAAAATAAATTCTTAGTTATAAATCGTTTGTAAATAGTTCTATAAGTCTTTTATCGTTATTGTTTTTGTTAATTAGTGTTAAATAAATAGTGTTTAAATAAATTGTGACTTTCTATCCACACGGAACCGACGAAAAACGTAACAATATGGTATATTCTCAGTGTATTTTATGATATATAAAAATACTTACAATTGTGTTTTTTGTTTTAAACCTGGAAGTGGTGGGTTTGAATTTATCGGCATCCTAATATTACCTGCTTTGCCAGGTTGACTAAATGCCTGTGCTGTTCTATTACCACTACTTGGAACCCATCCAGCAGCATTGGTTTTGCTATTTAATTTTTGTAATACCTAAAATACCAAACCAAACCAATACTCGTTAAATAGTATTTTATAATTTTTTACAATAGAAAATATATACAGTGCTTTTTTTAACTGTGAACATAGGGTTTATAGCCTAATGATATTTTGCTACTGTCCAGCGGTCGTTCAACGTTACGTCATTATTTGTCAAATATGCATTTTAGCGTGTATCTGAGATCAGTTCATATGGTTTAGAAAGCTTCAAGCACGTTCTGAAATTATTTATTGAGCGAGTTCCGTTTTTATTAAACTCGTGTAGGTATGTTGACCTTTATTCATTTTGATTCCATTTCAATGTATAATATTACGCGCACATACCAGTTTTTTTCAGGTAAGTCGTACCTATTTTAAAAATAAACTTACGAAAAAACTTGAGGTTCTATACAATAAAATACACTTTGATACTCTAGTAAGATTTAAGATTCCTAAAATAATTAAGTATACTCATACTTCTTAAACTATATTATTTCAAAACGCAGTTAATTTGTCTTTATGTAAGACTACACAAATTGTATTACTTCATATACGGCACCCGCGGGCAAAAGTGTTTTACCAGTGTCTCTTTTATCGTGTAAAATAAGTAATTAACTTTACGATGAGAACTTGTCTCGCTTTGCAACGCATTTTAGTAACAAAAAATTGAATTTTAAATTAAGTCATAGAGTAAGAATTAAAAATTGTTTAACACTGCAATTAAATTTTAATGTTGGCTTTGATTGTCAATGAAATTATAACCCCAAATCAAATGACAGTCACTAAAAACAATATGCAGTAAATTACGAAACGCAACAATGACGTCACCAATTTCTTACGTCTGGTTGTCAAGTGGAAGAGAGAGTTAGACAATATACCGTATGATCGAATAAAAACGGCGTCCCGTTGGCTTGGAAATGACGATCGATGACATTTCCCATATAAATGTACATATACAATGACAGCGATCTTCATTTCATAGCCATCACTGACGCCGTTTTTATTCGATCATACGGTATAACGTGATGTTGAACGATCGCCGAACAAACAATAATAACGTATGTTTCTTTATATTTTTTTTTAGATTAGTGTATCTACACGCACACTGGTGCGATCACGGCCGCGATCACGATCACGATCAGGGCAGCGATAACATGAGCGATCATTCTAGCACACACCAACGCGTTCACGTTCACTGCCGTACCTATATGTAGTGAGCTATCCTGTAGGTATACATAGGTACAAATTAAAAATGTGAATTATGTATTCCGAAAAAAAAACATTCTTAAATATTTACCTACAATATTTAAACTTAAAAAATAAAAATGTTTACGTATGTATGTACTATTCAATCCAATTGCAACTCCAATTTTGTCTCAAACTTTTTATTTTTAATTCTATTATTTTTGTAACTTGGATCGGATAAATCATATAGAATTTTGTGTATTTTTACAGCCTTAATTAGCTCCTCTGTTAACTCCATTTCTAAATTGTAACAAGAACAAACACACAAAATAACAGAAAATTCCTATCAGTTGGGTCGCGATAACGCGATCAAACTCGACAAGTTGAATCTGATCGCCACCGCAGAATAGAACGCCGCCAGGCCGCTTCGTCTCCAAAACTCGATCGCGCCAATGTGAAACGGCTCATATGTATTCTTCAGCAAATTTGGCCGCGGCCGCGTAGAAATCGTGATCGCGGCCGTGATCGCACCAGTGTACGTACAGCTTATTTTACAAATACGCCACTTCAAAAATAATGGACAGGGTATTGAAGTAAAAATAATACCTAAATATATGGTATAATCAGACAAAACATTAAAAATAAATAAATTTACCTTATGTTTAATATCATTTCCATCCCATACAACATCGTCTTCCCAATGAAGTTGAGTTACCATAAGAAACGCATCATCGGAAAATTCATTATTTTCCACCTCAGGTGTACTTTTAAATGTCTAAAAAAAACAAGAATCTGTATCTAAATACTAAATACATGCTAAGAACAATCTTTGAATTGTTACGGAGTTTTCAACAGGACACTGTCCTCAATGAGCACCTCAGTAGATTGAAGCTGATGAGAAACAACGGCGAATGCCGATTCTGTGGGGAGTATGGAGAAACTCCAAAACGCCTCATCACTGAGTGCGCCGAGACGATAACCATTCGTGACATAAACTTTGGTACGACTAATATCGTAGATGGATAACTAACCTCTGTAAATCCATCTCAGAAAATGGAGACAGATCCTCCAGCCTCCACCTCACGGGTTCCTCAGCCGGAGGCAAGCTCCTCGACTGTGAAGGGGGGCACGGAGGGCCAAACTCCAACCGTGGAAGGGTGTGTACCCTCGGAGGAAGAACTGTTGTCAGACGAGGATGGGAAATACCCTGTCCCCTCTACAACAGGGATATGATGGGTTATAGACTGTGTGATGACTCAAGGAAGGGGGGCACACAATAGATCTTTAAGGTCGCAGTGATTACTGCGACCTTAAATCAATTGCGACCCTAAATCAATTCCATGTAATATTAGAAGTTATGAAGAGATATCTCAATTACTGGACACACAATTACAGCCATTTATCTCCTATTATATCAGCTTTTATTTATTTTGCCTACAAGAAAACTATTACTGACCGATGTTTGTCTAAGAAGAAAAATACCTTTCTTCTTTTTTTTAACGATGTAGCTGATGAGTTATATAGTAAGTATATAAAAGCCGGTAATATTTATAAATTTAAAGATAATAAAAATATACACCTTACCATTCTCTCATTGGTTACTTTAAAGCCATAATTAAAATTATCTCCTGTTTCTGGGACATCTAACATATCATACCAAATTTGTGCAGGTCCAAATCGCCAATCTGCCGCTTTAGGACCAGACTCGTCTTTTTTTTCGGCATCTTGTTTATTACTTTCACTAGGATGTTCAATAGCTTTTAAAAACTTCTCCTATAAACCAATTGATATTTCAATTTGAAGTTGAATCAGTTTTTCTTTGCACGTACTTTACAACTATACAGGGTGTCTCAATATTCCCTGGATACAGAACTATACGTATTTTTGAATCAAAATAAATTCATTCACACAATTTACCTCTTTACAAAAGTATTTCGTTTGCCTGTTAGAGGCAATCAAACAAAATAATTACATTTTTTAAGATATTTAAATATCCGCTGTTCAAATTTGAATGACATTTGGATTGTCTATATTTTGCTAAGCACTTTAACATTTGACTTACAAAAAAAAACAATAAAAAGTACAGGAAGGATGAAAACTACCTCCATCCTTACATAAATTTTGGTTGAAATATTTTCCACTTCCACTGATGATTTTTTTTTATTTTTTCCGTAGCATGGTCTATTTTCAAATAAAAATAAAAATGTGTTCAAAGTAAAGTAATATTAAATTTGAATAAAAAATTTCTTCCAATATAATTACGGAAAATGCCGAATTGCTCCGGAATTATCACAAACCTTGGATCAGGTCCGCTGCAAGAACAGCGCCAAATAGTATTTACATTTTCCTTATGGGCACTTGCCAATTTAAACTTGTTTCATTTATTTACGAGAGATTATTACCTCATCATCACTTTTAATTTGATCTGGAGATACGTTTAAAGCATAATCAGGAAACCATCCCCGATGTTTTGGTTTTTCATCATCAGATGAATCCGAATCGTGTTCTTTATGCTTTCTTTTCTTCCGTTTCTTCCTAACATTTTTCCAAATATTTGGTAAACTGGTTGGCTTACCCGGACCAAATAATCTTGAAAATCTTAATACCTAAAAGTAAGAGTACTTATCAGAAATAACAAATAATATATAAAAAAGTGCGAGTCGGACTCAACAGGCGCATGTGCTAAAACTCCATTGATATTTTTCATATACAGGATTAGTAACTTGATATCTAGGCATAGGAATTACATGCATTGGAATGAAACGCCTATAAAAAGTCTAAGCTTAAACAGAGATGGATAACAACTTCCCCGTTTCCACTTCCTTTACGACTGTCGAGTTAGACAAACTCCAATAAGACAACAAATTTTGCAAATGCCACCGCCTCCCACCTACTCATGATACCCATCCACCTGCCCTTTATCGATGCTTTATCGCCATTATTTTATTTCCCTTCCCGCGCCGCCATCACAGAGTTGCCAGGTCTACCGATCGTCTGTAAGCTACCGATTAAACAAAAAATTTATCGATATGATCAACTGCGTCTTCAGTCTTTACAATACAAGAACTTTAAAAAATTTGACATATTTGTACTAAAAATTAAGCGACCAACGCGTTGGAATCTGTATAATAATACTTTATTATTTGATAATGTTATGTTTATTAATTATTTATTATTACTTTTGTTTAGTAATCATAGGTCATCGTTCTGTCTAGTTGCAGAGTTACAGAGATATTCATACAAATCCCTATTACTCCTTATTAGGCGCGGTACTGGCGACAGGCCCGAAGATGATATCATTAGAAAATATTTTATTTCATTCATCTACTAAAGTTAAACCCGCATTTTCCCCCAAAAAATGTAAACAAAAACAAAATCTAAGTTAAGAAACAAACTAAATACGGACAAACATTTTAGTGCTCTTCCTGTCTAAAAATATATTAATATAAAAAAAGAGTTGAAAGTTGCTACAGCTTTCCCATTGAAATGAAATTAATTTTAGATATCACTGATCAAAATTTGTACAAAGATAAAAAGTGACTGCTTTCCCTACTTCTTACAGTTTTATATTATGTTTTTATTAATATACAAATATTATTTAATTTAATATATATTTTTTAATATTAAATAAAACCCCTAGCTATTTCTAATTCTTGTTATATTTATTTTATTTGTGTTTTATTTGAGTGCTCTATTATTACAACACATAGGAATGCTAATTTTGGACTTAAATATTATATTTTATTTTGTGTTTCTATACTTTTGATTTTCGTTTAAGATCTACCGAGAATTTTGTTCTCGTATCGAACTATAACCTAACAACCCGGCAACCTTGTTCAGCTACTCCTTACAAAGTTTTTTCGGCCTAAAGGTTGTCGCCCACTAGACCGCGGCGCGACGCGGCGCGGCGCTATGTGGAAATTTCTATTGTATGCTTCCCATGTATTTAAATGGACCAACGCACATTAGAGCGCGCAGCGCCGAAGCGCGCCGCGGAATTTCCGTCAAGAAGTCGGAAGACTTCTCTAGCAACTTTTTTCCGTCTTCTGCGTTTCGGCGCGTTGCAGTGTGCGTACTCACAACGGAAATAATTTTGCATCTCGAATCTCTTCAGTTGGCTTTTTGACTAGGAACTAGTGATACGTATCAATGGTAGAATTAATTGTATTTTAAAGGTAAATTAGGCGAATTTCATGATATGATATTTTTCAAACAGATTCAGGAATGTGATATTTTTTTTCTTCCCTCACTAGAGACAGATGGACGAAATGTTTTTTCTATCAAAGATTTAATATAATTGAGGGGTGTAAAAGCAAAACCGGCAATCTCCACTTCTTGACAAAAGTGACAATCTCCAATTTTTAAATTCTAATTACCTAAATATATAAAAAAGATCAGGGTTTTTTTGACCACATAACTAATATACACATCAGAATAAATAAGAATTATCAAAAGTATTAGTAATTTGTCTCTTCTGAAAAAATATGATGAGTAGAGATACCCGGTGTTTTGCTTCTAAAACCCTCAATTGAGGAGTGCGTAAAATGTTTCCTTTATATTTTGTAATACTGAAAAAAATGATCTTGTCTTTTATTAAATCTGGAAAAAGATGGTCAAATTCTCCAAACTTCTTTCTTTTTTTGTTAATCGTATGAGTCCAACTTTTCCTCACCCCCTCTTCCTCTTCCTCTGTTAGAAGAGCACAAAAAATACGCTTTCGTCCGTACTTGAACTTATTGCTTTAAAAACTAAACTACAGTAAGTAAAAAACACTTCGACTATAACTAAATAGCGTTGCCGCGTTTCAAAAGCGCGCTATAGTGGGCGCAGTCTCTTCGCAGCCGGAAAAAATTCTCTTCCCAGAGTCGCGCCGCGCCGCGGTCTAGTGGGCGACAACCTTAATTCTTTTGTCACTGCCGCCGCCGACCGACGCGACGGTGGCGGGGCGACATGTGGGTGGTGGGAAGATCGTGCGTTGGACAGTATTGCCATTTCAGAGAATTGCACTTTAATCAGTTGCTATTTCAGAAATGATTTCAAAATTTTGCATGTTGCTTTTCGTTTTAGAAAGAAGTTATGTGCCTAGAGAAAACATTCTTAAAATTATTTTGTACTTTATTTAATATTTTATTAAGTAGGCAAGATAAGATTTAAGATTTAGGATTTGGGATAAGCCAACATACTTCTATTTAATAGAATGGCAACACTGTCCGTCGTGTTTACTGTCCCCACTTAACTGGATCTCCCAGCTCCCAGTCTGGCTCTTGCCTCAGAAGTACTTAATAGTTATTTTTTAAAAAATGTATTCTCGTGAGCAAAAAATAAATATTGTGTTATGGTACAGCAAAGCTAAAAGTGCCGAAGAAGTTATTGGGCAATTTATATTTGCTTACCCGGATCAACAGGTCCCATCGCGCCAAACGATTTTTAATATTTTTAATCGTTTTAAGCAATCTGGCTGCATTAACCAGTGTGGTAAATGCTACCACGAGGATCAAGAACGCCGTCCTATTCCTGAAGAAAGAGTCGAGAGGGATCAAAATGTATGTGCTTTTGTAGAAGCAGGTGAGCCATGCTCCAGCAGCCAAATTCCCCGAGGAATTGACGTTCCGGACCGCACAGTTCGGTATGTTTTGAAAAAACATGGATACAAGTCGTACAAAATTAAAACGATACAAGAAGTTTTCCCACGTGACTGTATTGGACGAATGCAGTTTTGTGAGACCATGACGCAGAATTGATGAAAACGAACAATTTTTAAAAAACATTTTATTTACAGACGAATCATCATTTTCTCTTAATGGTCATCACAATCCTTCAACCGTTAGATATTGGTCACGGGAAAATAAACATCTGACTGTGCCATTACGCACACAATATCCCCAAAAGATTAATATGTGGTCCGGTATTTTGGATAGGTTAGGTTAGGTTTATTAGGACAATATTGTTGGTCCTTTTGTGATCGATGGGTATTTAAATGCTGCAAAATACTTGCAGATGCTGCAGAATCAAATTATACCAGCTGTGCGGACCCTTAATGTTAATTTTGATGAAATTTGGTTTCAGCAGGATGGCTGTCCTGTTCACACTGCAAGACCAGTTCAGGAATTCCTGACAAGGGCTTTTCCTGACCGGCTTATTTGTGCCAGAGGCAACATACCATGGCCGGTAAGATCACCGGATTTGACCCCTCTGGACTTTTTTTTCTGGGGTCACTTAAAGCAACAAATTTATAGGTATCCACATAAGAGACCTGCAAATTTAGTTGAGTTAAGGGCCACAATATTTGATAGTTCTAACTCCATAACACCGGATCTAACTCCATAACACGGTACTATCGAATGTTAGGACGGAGTTTTATAATCGGCTCGGGTACGACGAAGCCCAACAGGGAAATGTTTTCGAACATTTGTTAAAATAAATTTTGTACATAGTTTATTTATTATAAGAAATCCTTTTTATTTATTTTTAAAAATGTCTATGAGTTTACTTTTTTTTAGAATACTTGTTTTTTATTTCAATTTTAGGCTTAAGCCTCATAAAAATTCAACTACGTTTAAAGCACTGTTGCATTAAATACAACACATGATCGTAAAACATATTAATAGAAAAATGCGATTAATATGTTATTATATATATATATATATATATATATATATATATATATATATATATATATATATATATATATATATATATATATATATATATATATATATATATATATATAATGAACAAAATTCTTACAGCTTTAGTGTATATTAATAAATAATATTTTCTTGCCTTTAGCTGTGTATTTTTTTTCTAATTTCGAAAAAATCGAAAGTAGAGAAAAAAAAAAAAGTAAAGAAAAATTGTTTTGCTTGTCGTAAAGGGGGGAACAAGCTCCACTCCCACAACCGGTTTCTGGGCCTACCCTTTCATCAGGTGGGCTGTCCAGGGGCTGGTTCTCACCGATACGGCAAGCAAACTTCTTCTATATCAACAGACTGATGTCGTAAAGTTGTCGGTGAGATATTAGAGTGCATCTCCCACGTCAAAAAGATGGTAAAGAAACGTTTTTCAGCCCTGCTCAAATATATGAAATGAACAAAATTCTTACAGCTTTAGTGTATATTAATAAATAATATTTTCTTGCCTTTAGCTGTGTATTTTTCCTAATTTCGAAAAATCGAAAGTAGAAAAAAAAAAAAGAAAATTGTTTTGCTTGTCGTAAAGGGGGGAACCAAGCTCCACTCCCACAACCGGTTTCTGGGCCTACCCTTCATCAGGTGAGGCTGTCCCGAGGGGGCTGGTTCTCACCGATACAACAGAAAGCAAAACTTCTTCTATATCAACAGACGATGTCGTAAAGTGTCAGTGAGATATTGGGTGCATCTCCCGTCAAAGATGGTAAAAGAGCGTTTTTCGGCCCGCTCAAATATGAAAATGAACAAAATTCTTACAGCTTTAGTGTATATTAATAAAATAATATTTTCTTGCCTTTAGCTGTGTATTTTTTAATTTGAAAAATCGAAAGTAGAGAAAAAAAGTAAAAAAGAAAATTGTTTTGCTTGTCGTAAAGGGGGGAACCAAGCCCACTCCCACAACCGGTTTCTGGGCCTAC